CAGATGTTAGTTTAGAAAGGATATTAGTAATTACCAGTACACAAGGATGTGTAATCGGTTTAATCTTACCTCAAGGGGTATCCGTAATTTACCCTTTAAATTAATTTACACTAAAAGCATGTCCTTGTTGAATTTGGACTAGTAATTATTTTATATTTATGTTTCAAAAAAATTCATCAACTCATCTTCAAGTGACTATCAAACAAAAATCAGAGGTCTCTATATTAATTTTTTTTTTATAAATAATATAAATTTGAATTTATATCTAATATTTTATAGTGCAAGGAGCTAGTACACAATAGAATAGCATGCTTCAGGAGGGTATATATAAATATAATAACATAAATCAATCTCAAAACCCTAAATTTTATTATAGTTGTCTTCACTATATATAATTAAATGTATTAAGAAAATGAATTAGTCAATGGTAAAGATGCCCTGAGACGTCATCAAATCTGAGTGAAGTGACGTAAGCACGTGCATTAATTAACAAAGTGATCAGCATGTAATTAATTAATGGCAAAATTAAATTAAAATCCAGTTATTCTTGATTGGGTAGCGGGGTGATTAGTATAATGTTTAGTGAATAAAACAAGATTATCCTCACCAATTAAATTCTGATAACATGTGATTAAGACAAGTGAAGCTCTTGCATCCATAAGGGCCAATCTCCAACTTGCCTTGAGCCATCAAGCTAAGATCCAGCCCATGGTCGTTAGTCTTATCACAACTAAATATAATTAATTTTTTTGTTAATTAATTAATAATTAATTACTACATGTTGTTAATTAATCAAGGACTTAGGGATGGGATTCAAGTCATTTGCATCTTACCATGTTATACCACCAAATGCGATTGGGGTGTGTTAAACCATCGTCACAATCTATGGTGTAAATTGGAACGAAATTTCTGATTTCGCAGATAGTTATAATTTTGAAATAATATTTTTCATTTCAAATTTCAAAAATTTTTGGTTATACAATTAAGATTTTTGAATCATATAGCTTGTTTAGTTTATGAAGATTTAGAAAATTATAATTTATCTATGACAAGAATCGATCAGCATGAAACTCAAATAAAAGTGTTAATAGTAGGAATATAAATACCAAAATGAAGCAAATATATAATATATCTTTCAATGTTGGAATTTAAGGTGTACACATAATAATTTTTGTTCTTTTTCTTTAGAAGAACGATCATCCGACGAGGGTGGAGGTTGGACTGGAACCCTAACATGTCTATAGATAAAAAATTAATGAATACATATATAAAGAGTTTCAAATAATATGCTACGATCCAAAAAATTGCTAAAATAGCAGCTACCAAAAATGAAAGCCTGTCAAAATAGAATA